TTTATCGTCTTGCCGTCCACCTGGATGCTGCGGGTGGCGAACTCCACGCCGATGGTGCTCTTGCTCTCCAGGTTGAACTCGTTGCGGGTGAAGCGGGACAGCAGGTTGCTCTTGCCCACGCCGGAGTCGCCGATCAGCACCACTGCCGCCAACACAGACACGGTCAGAGGCCACCCTGGTGCACCCTGCTTCACGCAGCTCCCAGGAGCTCCCTGTCTACTGCTCGATTGGCTCGATTAGTTAAACCGATCAGCCTCCTGGAGATCAATTAAATACCTCAATTTCTTCTTCTTTGGCTTTTATAATCTCTTTTCTGTTCTCCCTTCATTTACATCAACTTTTTTTTTATCACAGAAAAAAAAATTAATACATTAATTCATAAAACAGTCAGTGAGAGACTCAAATACTTAGCTTTAAAAAAAAAAACAGAACTTTCACGTGTAAGTAAATCTACAATAAAAATGTTCTCACCTGCTAACATTTCAAAACAGAACACTGATCCTTTTAACACGAGCAGAAGGAAGTGGTTCACTACTTAAGCAAATAGCAAAACATTATATTCAGGGTTAAATGCACATTAGGCAAAAAATACTTGGATAAACCCCACACTTTCATTGTTGTTATTTTCGAAGGGTGATTGAAATTTTAATTCAGTATTGATTTATTTTTGTTATAGCCAGATGATTTGTAATAAGCACTTGAATAGTGGACATCTCCACTCGGGGGTATGAACTCCATGACTGCAGAAGGCAGAGGAAGCAGAAGTGCAAGCAGACTGCTACAGCTCACTCATCTTTTGAGACATCACAGCCCCATACTGGAAGACAGGTGCACCCCCCCACCAGCAGGGGTCACTGCGACGCTGAGAGCACCCTGGCGGACTAACCAGCACTCCACCAAGCACACAGCACCCCGTCCCTTAGAGAATCTCCACCAGTCAACTGGTGACATGACCCAGCCTCGAACCCATGATCACAGAACTCAACCTGAACTTGAACCACCGGGTAGGTCTTGAGGTTCCATGAACAGAAACCGCAGTTAGCGCTCAGTTCAACCACAATAAAATAGAAGTCAAAGAATACACAAAAACATCTCCACCAAAAATTAAAAATGGTATTTTTACCTTTAAAATAAAGTATTTACAAATAATAAATCAGGATGGCCCGCTCTGCAACGCTACTGAATACACTCGCCGCACGAATCGCTGAAAATTCCCTTCTTTCCAAATGGGAAATTTGGAGAAAGAAAATCAGAGACACCCTCCACTTCTGCTTTTAGCCATTAGTCATTAAAAAAAAAAAAATCACTGACATTGTGACTGAAAGTCCCTTCGGAAATGATCTCAGCCTGTTTGGCAGATTTTGATTTACAGAAGAAGTCTGTCAGTCCAAGGCCAAGAAAACACTTGGACTAGTACTGTTATGCTCTGAAACTCAGGACGCAGTGAGCTTTAGTCGCTTAGTCAAAACAGCTGAGCCAGCACAGTCCACGAGTTGTTATTCCAATGCCATCTCACACCTCTCTCCCCCTCATCTTCCCAGCGTTCGGTTTGTATCGGCTCTCGACACAGCCCTCTCTCTCCTCTTTAAAAACCCAATTTGTTCTTTTCAGGAGATTACCAGCTGTCGAGAAGACCTGAAGCCCACTGCTTAAAGGCAGCAAAGAAATTAGTATGTATTTGGGTTAGCAGGAGATTTACTGAACCATGAACTCCCCCCCATGCTTCTATCAAATCTTAAAAGTTCAATCAAACGATGGGTTGTCAGATCGGTTCACTCTGTGGTAACATTCAACAGGAGAAGCACGACTCCTTCACCGTTAATACATTTAAATGTGTTGACACTGCTAGAGGAAAGTGATTATTTTTTTTTAGATTTCACAGATTATTCACAATTTCGACTCATGACAGAGACTCCTGTTAGTCTACATTTCTAAAGAGCAGGTTGCACGAAAGGGGAAGCCAAGAGGGTAAAAGTCTTGCAAAGGCAGGAGAGACCTGACCTTTGAGCTCCACTCAGCATTTTTACTGCCGTCTCAACATGCTTACAGCATTTTTATTTATTTTTTTAAATTCCAATATCACTCCCCCACTACCACCATGGCAACAGCATAACATAAGACCTTTTTTTATATTAAAACAGCAGATACCAACTTCAGGGTTAAAAGGGAGAAATAACTGCAGCTCAATTATATTTCCCCTATTCTGTTTCTCGCTCTGAATGGGTTGTTGCCGCAAAGAAAAACAGGATGTTCTTTTCAGGCTGTGTGTAAAAGGCACCGATTTAAAAGGCTTCCCACAAGGCACAATGCTCCTATCTGAAATGTCCAAGCATGCTCTCTGAAAAGCAAAGGTGCCTTGAATCTCCTCACCAGCCCTGAAGTTTCTACGCTACAGCAGACGGAAAAGCACACTGACGGCGTCAGGTTGGTTGTTTTTTGATGGGGTCCTGTAAAACGACACGCCAGGAGACCGCAGGGGGAATTAAAACCTTCAGATCGGTGGCTCCGAAAACGGACGCAGACTGCAGGAGGCGATGGTTTGCGCGAAACCAGGTCCCCAAATCGGCGCTGCTACCTCCAGCGACTGAGACACCTGCGCAAAACGCCGAGTCCGCGGGCAATTCAAAAAACTTTTAATTCTACAGACTGGAGCAGATGCGTGAGATTGCGCTTAAAAACGGTATTTCCGAGCCACCGACGACACCCTCCCCGCTTCTCCAGTGTGAACTTCATTCCAAGATCCTTGTATAAACAGCAACGATCTCCTATCGTCCATTTATATTTGTCCTGAAACTAAAGTGATAGCAACATGCAAGGGGGTAAAATGCACGTTCATCAAAAATTCAAAAGCAAAGGATGAAATAAAAACACACGCACAAGTCTGCCACTAACACTCATATGTGATCTTTAAAACACAAACTTCATTCTGAACATTTAATTCATTTATTTTTATTGGGGGGGGGACGGACGGACACACGCAAGGTAACGGCTATGTCTTCTGCCCTGCAGGTATATTTGAGGGAACTTCTGTGTTTCCCCGACGCATCTGCACCAATCCTTTCGGACCAAAATAAAAAAAAATTAAATTAAACCACAGACGGCCGACTGGGTTTCAAGGCTGTTTCAACACTTGAGAACCTCTTGCTGGCGCCGAGAGCGCCGCTGTTGTGAAAAGGGTGCGCCGGGCTCGGCTTAATCATCGTGCCCGGCTCCAGAGAAGAAAAACACCCGGTGACATCTCTCGGCTTTCTGAACGCAAACCGTGCCCTGCACGACCAAACCCGCACCTCACAGCAAACGCTCACGGCGCCGTCCACCAGATGCACAAAGCACATCGCCCTTTTTTGTTTGTTTGTTTCTTGTAACAGACTCCTTCAGGGCACATGACCGTCTCCGGGGTCGTTCATGCCGCTAAAAAGCGGAATTACGGCGTGCCCGCCGCCTCCCCAGCCACGTCGCGTCCGACAGGACGGCACAGGCCGGGAAGGAACGAGCCGGCCAGGCGCCCCCCCCCTCCCCGGGCCCCGGGCGCAGATTCCCGGCTGGGCGTTCGGGGCAAACCCGAGGCTTCGAGGGCCGCGGCGGGGGAGGCTGGTACAGTGCGGCTGCAATGGTCGACCGACTCCGCTTCCTCCTCGGAACCAGCCCCCCGGGTCCCCGCACAGAAACACATTCCTAACCCCCCCTCCACGGACGACACGCACTTACCCTTAAATAAATAATCGTACTCGTCGTCTCGGGTTCCCATGGTGTTGTGCTTTGTATTTCTCGCTGATCGTTTTTAACACGGTTTCTCTCTCTCTTTTTTTTTTTAATTATGCTCTTCCTTTCCTCCACCGCCGCCACCACGGACAGAGACGCTCGCCCCAACCGGCAGGAAACCGAACGGCTCCCAGCGCTGACAGCGAGCACAGACACGTGAGGCGAGTGACAGGCCCGGCGGCCAATGGGAGGCGAGTGACTGACTCGGCGGCCAATGGGAAGCGCGCATTTCACAGCCGGGGCCGCCGGGGCCATTCCCACCCAGATTGATCGCTCGCTGACCAATAGCGACTCATAAAGCCAGGCGATGGGTCACCGAATAAATAAGAAATGTATAAAGTAGGGATTGAATTGTGTGGAGATGGTAGATGTGCGGGTGATAAAACTGAGGGGGAAAGGTAGCGGGAGCCAGACTGATTTGTATGCTCAAGGAGGGGACTTTTTCTTGCGTTTGTTGAATGGCTGTTCAAACTCTGACCGGGCTGAAGTCCTGACAACTTTATGATTTTTACCTTACTGACGACTCAAACTGTTCGCTGTGCTTTGCTTCCGTTATTACAAAGCTAAAAATGAATGTACTCCTGTCTATGATACTGTTATAAGCCGTTGTGTCGACGCGCTACTTGAAAACTTCTTACTTTTTAGAGTCGTTCTGATGCATGGATATTCACTTTACAAAAATGTTAAGTCTTTTATGCATTTTTAGTATGTATATATGCATTAAACCGCAAACAGTCTAAATATGGATCGTCTGTGCTTCAAGCACTGTAACCAAAGGCTAGATCATGCATAATCCATTAAACTACGTCCAAAGTGCTTCATAATTTTTCATTTAATGACGGAAAACAAGACGACTTGTTATGAAGTATTTATTAACGCAAAGACTTCAAACACCATGCGTGAAATAATAGCCACAAAGCATTTAATACAGGAATACATTCAAAACAGATAATTACGTTAATTTTGAAATTGTAATTCAAATTCCACAAAATAACAGATGATGAGGACATTTTCCTCCATTTCAGAATTAAGCTTCCAGTGTTGTAGCGATTTCAGCGCCTTGAAACAGTGTATGTTGATGTGAAGTGCATCACCGCTCAGCAGATTCCCTTGGCGTTCAGTCGGGACACTCCAAGAACGTCCTTGACACTGTTCTGAAAATTAACTGACAAAATAAATAAAAGAAAGCAAATACTGATTTAATATACAAAATCACCACCACACAGATAGTCAAAATAATCTTACCAGTTTGAATTGGGACTGTTCAAGATGCAAAGTATCTGAGACAATGTTTAGAAACAAGTAACTTGAGCTGTGCTCAATAAAAAGGTCTACAGTTACAAGGCTGGTATAAAACTGCAGCTTATTGGTTATCATTTAATCTTGGTTTTCATCTAACGATTTAAATATGTTCTGTCATTACGAGGTAATTTTGATGCATTCCTGTGTAAAACACACAAAACAATAATGTAATGTTTAAAAGGATATTTACAAAAGAACTGTTAACCAGTGTCAGCAAAATTCAATTACACTAATACACAGACTGACACATGGCTTGAAAGACGTTTCTAAGAATGTCTTTCTAATGAAATACAAGCAAAACACCAGCAGCCAGTGCTGGTGTTCAGCATATTCCTCTTACATTCTTTGATTGTATTACCAAGGTATAAAGTATGTTTCAGGAGGAAAAATAACTGACTAAACACTTAATTAAATGCAATCTAATGAATGTGTTGTGTTTGACTTGTGAGAAGCTTTCAAACTACACTTACAGCCAATTACATAATTATGAGTATATTGACTTCAGTGTTTTGTTACGTACTGATGCTTTCAAAAGCACTACTTTTGTGTATCAGCATCATTCCAAGAGTCTGAAAATGTACTCATCGTCTGTTGAAATGTTGGTGGTAGTGATGAAAGAATGATGAAATCCTGATGAAATCACAGAGAGCCAGATTTCTGTTCTCCAGTTCATTCTTGGGTTTACAACCGACAAGACTAGTAGCTCCTTGCAGGCTGTTCCTACCTGACTGTAGTCCTTTTATCCTTTTCTGGACAGTCAGTAAATGCTGGATGTAGTCAGGTTGTGGCTGTTTGTAGGCAGATGCTGTCAATGCTACAGGCTTGCTGCTGTCTTGGGAATGTCTGAGCCTGCAACAAATGAAGGCAATTGAAGTTAGACTACTAGAAACACCAGCTGATCTTGCTTATATATGCATCTAGTTTTTGGGATGGCATCTTTCAGTAGAATGTAAAGAAAGATGAAAACATAGAAAAAATATTTTGTTACGAGGTGGCAGTACTGACAAATTACTTTTATTGTACTTCTGCAATTTGCATAAGATATGGACTATCATGAAATGAAGAAAGAATATGAAAACTCACTTTCTATTTTATTTTACCAAAATATTACTTTGATATATATGTTAAAGGAGAAAATAAGCTTTAAAGATCAAAGATTTTTCTCTTGATATTCCTCAATTCAGATTATCCAATTTGTGAGTCAGGTGACTGTAGGTGGCTGTTTTTTTTTCAGTATTTAAAACATTTTTGGTATTAAAAGTTTTACATTTTTATTTTGTGCTGTTTTAGGATGCCAAAGAAGGAGAATCAATATCTTTAGTTCCCCTAGAGGTGTGGTGGCTGGACTGCACGTCTACCTGTGGTGAGACTGGGAGCTGGACAGCTGGGATTGGGCAAGGGGAACTCGGTTGGACGCTGAAGTGTCCCGGGACGGAGGGGAAAAGGATCCCACAGTCCAGGAGTGCTCTCTTTCACTGCCCGTTACCTCGGAAACCTGACAACACTGCTTAGAATCCAGACCTTCCACCTAAAATTCAATAACAGAACAGGAATGAAAGAAGTCATCATAGGGGAAAGGAAGAATGGCTAAGAAGTGAATTAACATCATAATCTCATTTCTTCTTATCTATAGATGTTTGGAGATGTAAAGAAAACAGGTAAGGCTTAAACAGTAAGCAAATGAAAAATATCAAACTGCATAGTATAAAACTTCAGTTTGCATTTTGCTGTTTACTTTATTTCAAAAACAGTTCAGAAACCCTGAAATTTGCTGCTTCCCTACTGTGCTGTTTACAGTATGAAGCAGAAGAGGAATAACAAACATGAATTTGCCTAAGCTGCTGGTTCGCCGTTTTGGGGCCCTCACCAATTTCACTGCCTTTCTCTCCCACTCCTCTGTTTTCTCCAGGAGCTTCCTCCAGCCATGCCTCCTCTGCTCCTCTCGGTCCCCCTCGCTCTCCATCAGGGAGCGCAGGCTGCTCCGCAGATCCAGGTACTCCTCCCTCAGCCTGGCTCTGTGTTGGTACTCTTTTCCCATTGATGGGAGAGGCTGCTCTGGCTGATTCTGCTCCGGGGGGCCCGTGTTTGCGGCAGCTGCTCCCAGCCGCTCAGGCAGAGTCTCCTGGCTGCACCTCTGGGTGTCAGCCTGTAGGTGGCAGTGGATGTCCTTCTGCTCCTGCTGCTTCTGCCTGAGAGTTTCCAAAGCGATCTCAAGCTGCTCCCTCTGATTCTTCAGTATGATCCTAACGGGGTGAGAAAAATATCAATAAAACATTTCAGTGAATTCAGTGTATGCTTCTGATGTGCAAATTGATTTTTCAAGGCAGTTAGTGCTAGTGTAACTGTTCCAAAAGCACTGATTATGGGTATTGTTGCTTCCATCGTCCATGGTTCTATATAAATATTGGCAAAACAATTACAGTACAGTCATAATAATAATGTGGTTGTCTAAAATCTGCAGATGAGTGTGTGGAGGGAATTAAGCAGTACCTCAGATTTCTGATATCTTCCTGCATCTCCTTTTCAGACGCCACAGATTTTCTCAGCTCTTCGTTAGACTTAGACTTCTCTTGCAGAAGCTTAGTTTTCAGAGATATGACTAAAACAAGAATCACACGGACGTATTAAACAATGAACGCCTACACACAACTTTCTTTTTCTGAGTGTTTTAAGGCAATAAAGAAATAAAAAGGAAAAGACAGCAAAGAAACTACAATTATATCATGCCTTTAAAAAAAATCCAGGAATTTGTTTTATGGACATTATGTGGATCATCATTTAAAAAAGTGTTTTCCTGTTTTCCCTATTGTTTTGCTCCTCAAAGTTAGAGCAGAGTCTTGCCTGTTTAAAATCTTTCTCTAACCTTGGGTACGGAGTTCCTGCTCCTTTGTGGCTCCCTGCTGCATGGCTCTGTCCAGCGTCTGCTGCACGTTCTGCATTTCCTGCTCGTGTTTCATCTCACACTTATCCAGGGTCTCCTGCAAAGCCTGCAGCTTATCCTGAGAAGCCTCCAGTGTCTGCTGCAGTCCACCCATTTCCCTCTGGTATTCCATCTCCCGTTTGTCAAGGGCTTCCTGCAGGGCTCGGACCTTCTCCTGAGAACGCTCTGAAGTCTGCTGCACCACGAGCATTTCCTCGTTGTGCTTTGCCTTGAATGTGTCAAGAATTTCCTGCAAAGCTTGGACTTTCTTCTGAGAAGCCTCCAGTGCCTGCTGCATTTTCTGCATTTCCCTCAGGTGCTTCACCTCGTACGTTTCCAGGGTCTCCTGGAAAACCTGGACTTTTTCCTGAGAACACTCCAGCATCTGCTGCAGTCCCAGCTCTTTCTCCTTGTGCTCCTCCCTAGACTTCTTCAGGGCCTGTATCAACGTCTTGACCTTCCTGCGGTGCTCCTTCTGATAATCTGTCAGTGCATGCTGGAGCTTCTGTACGGTGGCCTTGCTCTTGGCCTCCGACGCTTCTAGGGTCTTCTGAAGTGCTTTCACTTTGTCCCGAGAAGACTTCAGTGTTTGATGTAGAGCTACCATCGTGTTCTTGCACTCATCTTGTGCAGTGTCCAAGGCTAGCTGGAGACCCTTCATCTTCTCATCATGCTGGAACTGAGAGTTTCTCAGATCTGTCTTGAGTTGATCAATCTCTGACAGCAGGCATTTCCTACTAGTCTGCTCCTCCTGGGCGGTCTTCAAAGACTGCTGAAGACTTTCCACAGTGTCTTGATGCTGAAGTTGCACATTTCTCATTTCAGTCTTAAGGTTCTCAATCTCTGACAGAAGGCTGTTTCTGTCGGTGCTGATCAGGTAGCTCTGCAGTTCCTCCTATTGTAGGTAAATCCAACACATTATAAGACAGAAAAAGATTTTGCAATGTTAATTAACATGCATAATTAAATGCTATTATTTCGAATCCATTTGGTTGACTGAGTCATGATAAGCATCATGTCCCAGCTCTATGTAACAACACTACACATTGGAAGAAAAGTGGAAGAGCAGGAAATATTTATAACAAGCCTGACACAGGTAGAAGGAAAAATAAAATTATATTTTATTGCAAATGTAATTTATCCTCTTAAATTACTAACTGTAGTTAGTTACTTTTTTGTCAGGTGAAATTGGCTTCACTAATGCTAGCCTTACAAAAATGAAAAACAGATACATCACTGTTGAACACGTACCATGTTCTTATCAAAAACCAGTTTGGAAACCAGTTCCTTTAAGGAGTGAATCGCATGAAACAGTGCTTGTCTGTCCTTCTGACAGCTTTCCCCATGGGAGCAAGCTTCAGTGCGAAGAGCTGTATGGGAGATAAAGCGCTTCGAAAGACCCAGTATTCTGGACACCTCATTGGAAAGGCCTTCCAATAAAGCCTAGCATGAGAAGGGAGATTTCAAAAGATCATTTTCATATCTAGACATTTTTTTTAAATGCATAAAACATGTAGATGCATTATAAGTTACAGGAGTTACAGAAGGAGCTGCATATTTAATCAGGGATTTTGTTAAATCTCTAAATATTTAAGGAAATTTCTGATTAAATATTTAGGTGTTTCATGAAGTTCCTGGCTTCACATTCTTTTTGTTACCTTGTTACTATATATACATACTCCTTAAATGTCTACAAAAAGAGCAAGAGCCAAAAAGAGTACCTTTAGTGAAGGTGACACCACTTCCTGCCCAGCGACTGACTCTGATTGGTCCTCTGGGTCTTCAGAAGTCAGCTGACTAAGGTGTTCACACTGTTTCACTTCATGGAGCAGCTGAGCCCACAGATGACTGTCAGTTTCTGAAAAAAGAATGCAACAGGCAAATAAGTGGACTTTTATTAGTTATTGTTTTTGTTTGAAGGACAATCATCGATTATGCCAATAAATGTCTTTGAATTTGACGTAGGATTAGGAAATATACGCCTTCCAAATGTTTTACTGTTGTTGTCAGCAAATGTTAAAGTTTATTGGTTTTTACTTTTCTAATGGAAATGATTGCTTTGTTAATAGTTACAGAAAAACAGCCCTGAAGTACCCTTGAGTCTTTATCATACAAGGTGCATCAACACTCTCAAGCTTTGTTTCTTAAACATCAGTCATGATTACAATGTGGGAGTACTGTCAGGAAATCTTATTTTTGTTTTGTTTTTGCATCTCAAAGCTAACCCAGCCCAGTTCAGACCTTCGACGGGAAGGAATAAGTCTCCTGTTCTTACCAAAGGTGTGGCTGCTGTCAAATCCACCGCTGAGCAGCTCAGAAGATGGAGTACATGCTCGGCAGTCTTCTTCAGGACTCTGGCTTCTAACACAACCCTGAGACAAAACAAACCCAGCATTGAAAGTGCAGTATTCATATTTATAAATAATGTCTCAGTTATTACACATAGTATTGCTGCACATCAGGTGTGTAAGTGTATAATTGATAAAATATAAATTCATGGCTTAGCTTTCGGAATGGTAAACTCACCCCTGGTTCAGCTGGGAGCACACCTACACCCAGGGCTCCTGACCCAGAAACAGGCAGATTGAGCTGAAGGAGGTAGTTCCTTAACCTGGAGTCCAGGTGTTCAGATCTCTCTATCTCACAGTGCAACTGAGCCCACAGATCACTGCTGTCTCCTAAAAAAGAACATGTAGCATGTAGCAGGTAGGCCATTATGTCTAGAAAGAAAGACAGCAGTATTGTACTTATTCCTGCCATCTACTATCTTGTTACTGTTTTTTGTTTGTTTGTATGGGAAAGCAGTCAAATGCTTTGTTTGAGCTATTGATGTTAATTGAAATACCACACTTAAAAGTTACCAGGGAATTCTCTGACTTACAAAACTCCTATCTTCTTACTTACCAGTCTCCATATTCTCAAGTTTGTGTGTTTTTCTTTGAACTGCAGCATATTGGTAATAGTCATGAAGTTGGAAGAAAGTCAGGAAAACATTCTGTTTCTCCCAGGTGAGTAAATTCAGTTTACAAAACTGAGAACAACAGGATCATCTTGCAAAGGTGCAGAAAATATGAATACACAAGAAGCTGGCATCAGTCCTGGCAATTTGGGTTGGTTGCTGAAAAGATATTCATTCAAGGACCCCTGCAGGATTATAGCAGATCAAGGTCTTCCTATTAGTGGGAATCGGGGAAAGACTCGGCACTGGTTTGGGAAGGAATGAGTCTCCTATTCTTACCACAGGTGCAGCTGCTGTCGTGTCCATCGCTGAGCAGCCCAGAGTGTGGCGTGGGTGCTTGGGTACCTGCATCAGGGCTCTGGCTTCTGACACTGTCCTAAGACAAAATGAAATCAACAGTGGAAGTGCAGTTTTAGTTTTTATACATAAATACGTGAAGTGCAAAGCCTCATCTTCAGCCATCAGGCGTCTCTGGTTCAGATGGGAGTGCACCTACCCCCAGGGCTCCTGGCTCAGACTCTTTTTCTGCATTGCCAGAAACAGGCAGATTGAGCTGAAGGAGGCAGTTCTTTAACCTGGAGTCCAGGTGTTCAGATCTCTCTATCTCACAGTGCAGCTGAGCCCACAGATCACTGTTGGCTTCTAAAAAAGAACACAAAGCAATTAAGTGGGTGGCTGGGGTTACAGATCTGATTTGACTATAAATCATACTTCCAATGTATTCTGTCTCATTGTTTTGCTATAATGCTAAGCCCTGCACTAAGACCTACATGTTCATGACCAACAAAGCTTTGTTTCTTAATACATTCAACCAAGATGATTCCTCATTTTGTTAAAAAATACAAGTTGTAAGATGTAAGACAGAGATCTTTGGCCTTTCAGATTGATATGGCATCTTATTACACCAAGTGATCTTTTTGTGGATTAAAGCAAATTTGCATCTACAACAAGAACTGATACTCTAGTCTATTGAGATGCTTACCAGTACTGGTGCTGCTCTCATACCCATTACTTAGATCAGAAAAAGGAGTGGACACTCGGGTGCCTGCTTCTGAAAGCTGGCTCCTGACACACTTTTGAAAACAAAAGAAAATCAAAACTGATACTGAAGAATGGAGTTTTATTTTAAATATCAACTACTGCACAAAAGAAACACAATACTGAGGTCCAGTGGATTTAATCCTAATCATTAAACACTTATTCAACATGAAATCAAATCAACACAAACTGTGGACAAGCAGAAATCAAAGAGTAATGATAGTGTACTGATAGAATTATCCTTTTGAAATGTGGTATACTGTCAAAATGAAAACATTATACAGTCATAGAATATGGCCTCCTTGAGCATCCTGATCAGCTTTTGGACAGACTGCTGTGGGCTGTAAGACTGTAATCTTGTGCACTCCTGGGTTGTCTGGCAGGGAAATTTGATCATTTCAGATTGGCTTGCTGGATACTTGGTACTTTGTTGACATATCACTGAACACCGTTTGCCTTGCCTCAGTCAGATGGTCGTGTATTAAAGAAGAGTCCTCTCTCCATCTTCACTCCTGTTGCCTTGAACAATGCAGCAGTCAAAATAACGATCACCATGGATCTTCACAAAGGCTTTTCTTAGTCATGCCCATTAAGGGCAAATCAGCTCAATTTTTGAGATTCTTCAACACTTTATCAGCTCAGATTTTACTGGCCTGCACAAGATGTCAATTTTGTTTGTCATCTGTGAATGTTACTCCTTAACAGTCTGCAGGCATGAAGATCATTTTTAAGTAAGCAGTGATCCACAGTCATTGTGCTGCTGAGCCGTTGGATGTCTTCATGAAATTTCCTGTACAGCAGCTAATGCAACCTGAAACAAGATATGCCCTGCTGGTGGATCAGATGGATTTGTCCATCTTGGGCCAAGAGGTGGTCTGTCCTGGACTTCACTGATCGTTGAATTCAGATTTGTTATCAGCTCCGGTTGTTTTAACATACCAAACAGATACCAAACATTGAGCACCTGGAGTTTTTAGCACATCAAAAATTCTTGATGATATTGTGATTCCAAGAACAAAACCACTCTATCTGCTGATAGTACCTTATAAACTGATATTATCAGTTCTAAATGTGGGTGTTGTGTTTTCATTGTATATCAAGTATGTATCAGATTTCTACATCTCAGTTCCAGTTTGTACAAACTACACTTTTGGATGTGATACACAACGGCTTTTATAACCAACCCTGAGCCTACTTTCATCATTAACAAAAACGGGAAGAATTTATTTCAAGCTGTAAATTTTTAAATTGTACCTGTTGGGGTAGCTCCTCCCACATCCGGTCACAGGAGTCCTTTTCCTGCTCCGTGGGAGCCATGTTTGGGAATGGTTTCGATGTAGATTTTGTCAATTTTGTAGACTTTAACGGCCTGATCCTATTTTCCTCTATGTCATTTACTGGTAGTGACAATTTCGGAATAAAAAACTATACTACAGAATTACAGTTAATTATATTTAACTTGAAACTGTTGGGGAGCTCACGTATTTTCGTTAAGTAAGATGGCGCCTGGTTTCCACGCGGAGCTGCAGCGCGTTGGTGTCACGATGGCAACCAAAGGCCGTCTCCAAGGAAACAGCGGAACGTCTACGTAAAGCGCTAAATCGGATAAAGGTTTCGCAGCCCTGTACGCATAAATTAAACATGATTTACTCTGTTTTATTTAAATACCTGTGGATTACGTGCGAATTTTAAAGTTTATGTAAATATATATAGTTATATTAAGGGAAAACGATTTTAAAATCTGACAAAAAATAAGGATTTTCTTGATTTATAAACTGCATCTAAATTGATCGATTTAAATTACGAGTCAGATGACGTCACAGATATACTCGCATATAGCACCAGGCCCACAGGGAAAACTAATAGAACAAACACACAAAGTATAAACAAAAAAGAATAAGGAATATGTCAAACCCACTAGGCAAAGCAATACGAAATATTTTAGCTATGTTCTGCTGACATGCGGGTCACGCACAAACTACTAAACTGCATCCGCATTTTCAAGTTTTAAAGTGTAACTTTTTGTCGTTACACTTCATGTCCACTAGAGGACACTCAATTCAATTCAAGGTGCTTTATTAGCATGACCGATGGGTACAATCAGTGTTGCCAGAGCAAATAAAATAATGAAATTCACATGAAACAAAACAAAAAATAAAATAAAATCTACAGACATATTACAACAAAGACATATTATAAAATGTTGACATATACTGTAGACAGAAGGAGCATTATTGGGGGACAGGCTCACTGTTCCTCAGGCTGTGACAGGAGATCACATACTGGGCTGCCAGTTCCACTGAGTTCCCTCCTCCCTCTCCCAGTAGGATTGGGACCTGTTGTGATTCTGCACTCTCTCTCTCCGAGGAGAAAAGCGATTCTGTCACTGAAGGGTGTTGTGCTACAGCGGCATTGCAGGTCTGAGATCTATGATGTTTGCGAGCGTAACAGCGTGAACGGTAACAAAATTGAGAGAAAACCGATCGAGAGAGATGCCTTTGGTGGGGTTGCGGGCGGCAGATACTAGTTTATTTTTCTCTTGAATTTGTAAAAGTGTTAATTTTTAATATTACTAAACAAAACTGAGCAAGTGGTCATGTTGCAACCCACTTTTATATTTTAAATGTCCCTTCTGTCCGCTCATTCCTGAATTATGGCTACAGTAACTCGCGGTGGATGTAAATAAAAGGCGAACACTTCAGCCATTCCATTTAATATTTTTATTCTTTTTTTCCATTTATATTTTAAATGTACATTATACAGACACTTTATTCAGAGATAAAGTCACAAACTTACATCTTTCATTTCAGAACTTAAAATGATCCTTCCCAGTCAACAGAGAAGACCGGTTAAATCACGGATTCTTTCAAAGATAATAAATAAATAATATAGAGTGAAGTCACTTTTACTAGTTTGCAATCTGAACCGTCAGCTGCTGCTACAATGTTTCGTTTACAGAAAAAGGAGCTGACCCGATGGCATTAAGAGAAAATGAAAAAAATAATTTAAAAAAATCAGAGCTATTCCTTCCTGCTTAATGCCCCATTAACACAAACTTTAATCTTACAAAGAAGTGAAATACATGATATTCAAAAGAGATAACAGTGATTTCATATAGTACAAAAGCTTAGATGATATACCCAGCTACAATATGGCAATAAACGTCACACATCCGAGCTACTGTAACCTCAAGACTTATGCAGGGGAAGGTTCATGTGATCCCAGTAATCTGGACAATCGAACTATATCACTCCTTGAGTTTGACCAGTGCATGATGTGCAATCAGCAGTGAGCAATGATGACAAACAGAAAGGACTTCATCTGGATCTCATGCATTCACATTGCTTTGACACCCAGCTACGGTTTGTTAGTGTAGTGTGATTTTTAATATTCCTGCGTTATTGCATACCCTTTTAATACAGAGTAGGCAGGCTTACACAAACCTCAAGCAGAGGTAATGTACAGTACATACAAGAGCCTCATTGATACAGCAACCTCCACCCTCTGGTCTCATTTCCAATGGCCTTGTGACTGGACACCCCATGAAGGGGGCCAAAGGCAACTGGGCACAGAAGAGTACCCCAAGATTGTTGAGCCAGGTAAACCCACACCTGAGACACACACTTTGTACAGGACCCCAGTAGATCTGGGCGGTTTCCCAAAGGAAACAGTTTCCCAGCTACCAGCTCTGTCAGGCATGTCGTTTTCATCAAGGGCAAAACAGATTGTGGTGTATACCTCACATTGCACACAAGCAAAATGCTTATTTCTCTGTATGTCACACCCCAAGCACACAATTCTATGTATGTATTACACATACATAAAGATGCACAAGATGAATGCACAGAACCCTGTGGTATTAAAAGGAATCAGTGAAGCAGCCCCACATTGTCCCCAAAACACTTTCACACTGGTGGAATGAATTAAATGTCTGATCCCATGCGAGTGTTCACAATAGGTCACAGCAGTACTCTTACTTCAACGCAGTAGGGTTCAAATTATACACCGACATCGGGGTGCATTTATTTACATTGAAAACACGCTACTTCTTAAGGAAATGTATTAGCAGCAATTCAAAAAAAAACCTGGGCAAAAGTCACAAACAGGATGCACAGTTCCTGCACCTAGGATCGTGAACAGTATGACTGTACATCTCTGTCCCAGGCGTGCTCCCTCTAACCTTTTAACTCCAAAACAGCTCCGATTTTCAGACAAATCAAAGATCATTGCAAGCATCACTCCGATATCAGCATGAAGTACAGTAGATCAGATATGGTTTATAAATCATGTCTCACTAGCAGCCTACCAAAAATAAAATAAAAAATATTCTCCAATTCAAATGGAAAATATATTTATATATTTATGTACACGTCTCAGGAACTGAATCATGGAACCTTCAAATAAATAGAATCATCACTACACTGGAAACCTAACAATGCTTTTATGTGTCAATTCTCAATAAGGCATTCAAATATCAAGTAGCTACACATTATAAATACATTGCTGTCAACACCTTTTTGTTAATTCCAGCAACTAATTATAACTGGCCACCGCACATGGGAGCGGTTAAAAATAATTTATCTTTCCTCTTTGAACACCCCCCCACCACCACCACCACCACCACTTTTATGGAAGGACACAAACGGAACAACGAAAGAATGAAAATAATTACTGAGAAGCTGAGGGAGCTCATTACCGTCCCCTCTCCTCCGGAAGTATCTTGTTATTACGAACATGTCACACTACACAGCATTGTACAAAACAGACAGTCATGTGCTTATGAAAAATAACTTGATTGTGAAAGTGCTTTCCCTATATACACACACGAGGGGGGAGGGCTCACTGTCTGAACGTTTCAATGGCATTCCTATTAAACCCACAGATGCAATGGGACTGTCCCGTTTCACAAATCGTTTCTCCCTTTGGGATCTCACCTGTGAGGATTCCTATTGGCTTGCCTAAACCACTCCCTGTTCCTTAGCCCCAGCCCAGCCTCAGCCTTGCCAACCAATCAGCTTCTCTCTATGAGAAGTGAACAGCCAATCGTCTTCTGGCGGAGCCTGGAGGTTCCCTGGCGCAAGGCAGTCTGGGACATCCGGGGGGGGGGGGGTCACAGACTGGTATGGCCCAGTAGTGTGCCCTGCTATGATATTTTCCCACGTGCCGACACGGGCGATCTAAGACGGACGTCGAGGTGACTGGAAAAGGACAGAGCACACGGAAAATACGACACGCGAGCTTCGAGCCGTGCTTTCATACAGAGGCCGAGGAGAAAACGGAGAAGGGGGCCACACCTCCTAAGCAGAAGAAGCCAAGTTTGCTTGATAGAAATACGCAGGCAGGCTGCCCAGTTGTGGATACAAAGCAGGACACACTATAAGGACCCCTGAAGCCACAAAGAGGGTTGCCTGCATGGCTGCAGGAATCTAGAACTAACAGTTACACCCCTGAAATAATCACCCATTGAGCAGCAAGCCATCCTCCAATGATGGATACTACACAGAACATCTATCGGGGGATCTATTTTTATCTAGTTTTATTGCGTTAATAACATTCCTTCAAAGGTCAGACAAGTTTTGCTGGACTTCTCCCTCCTATTCCTTCAGCTCTTTAGATGGATAATGCAGTTTCAGTGGAATATTAAGTACCCGGTTTGCTCTTGCATTGTCCTGCTACAGAAGCAGACCAAGGTGACCACATGTTCCGTTCTTACTTAGTGGTCAAGTGCATCGCCCACGTCAATGAGTGCCCTGCATGTCCCAGTCAATCACAGTGTCTGCAGCCCGTCTTCATTATCTCCGGGCCCCGGGTCAGCTGTGAGCGAGCACAGACACCTCCCATCAAGCCTCCTGCAGAGCTACAGCTTGACCTTAAGAACCCCTGACCGGCGCCCCTTGCTACACCCACTGCGTCACCGCAGACGGGACGGTTTCTGTCCCGACCGCGGGCGGCAGGATCGCCGAAACGTAGCGAACTCCAGCGAGCAATGGAGCAGTAAGCATGGTCAAGCAAACAAAGACATCGAAAGCAAAGAATGTTCACAAACTAACACGGTATAGCCAAGGACTGGGCCAAGTTATCAACAAAATCTGTCCTGATTGAAAACCCAAATAAGTTAAAATATTATTCTAAGAAAAGCTGTAAAGAATCCCGTTAGAAATAACGAACACTAGATTTCCCCCATGTGAAGCTCCATGTCACCTCCATGCTACGCCTGTGCTGGAGTGGCTCTGATCAGACGGCTGGTCAGAGATATTTCTTGCCTCGTCCCCTGCTGAACGGGTGTCATCGCATCAGCAGGGGAGGTTAAAGGGGAAGCCGAAAGTAAATCTGGGGCCCTGACAGAAGACAAGGGGAGACTGTAGCTGAACCCCCCAGCTGAGCAGCGCGAGCAGCACCAGGGAACGAGCAGATCACAGGCCTTGGCCTCAGGGGGTTCCTCTTTTTCTTTTTAGCAAAGAAACGGCTACGACACCAAAAGAAAAGAACAAATGACCGTTTGGACCAAACGGAGGAACAGACCATAAAAGGAACAAAACGGCAGCAACTACCTGTAGCGTGCCCTACGCTGTGATTTTTTTTCTTCTCTCTCTCTACGGAACGCTAAGCAAAAGTGAACAAAACCAGTTTCACAGTATTTAAAAGGGTTTTAAAAAGTGCAATAAAAACATAAAAAGACAAAACGATCCACGCGTAAAGACTGAAACGTTAGAACTTTAGTTCGCTCTTTTCCCACGAAGTTCCTTTCCACCGCCATCCCTCTCCTTCGGCCCAAACTGGGGCTCACGCGTCTTCAGTCTGTGGGGTGCCTTTCTCCGTTGGAGGGTTTCTGCGTTGCGTGGGGGAGAGTGGATGGAGGCTGACGACAGGGCGAAGGGGGGACCTGCCGATGAGAAGGAGGCCCTTCTGCCTGGGGTCGCCCCAGTTTGTGGGTCTGGACACTCATCCTCATCCTGCTGGGCAGGGAACTCTCCGATGCCACATACTCCATCAGAGGGGAACCCCAAAAAAATCAATATAGCCCCAATGCTCTCCACTCCTCTCCTCTCTTCTTGTTCCGGCTTGCATAGAGTTTACTGCAGGGAGGAAAGAGAGGCAGGATTAGAGGATGGCGTTATCTCGTCTAGAAACCAGCAAGTGCAGACTGCTGTTAACAGAGGCTATTCTGTAGCACAGCTTGTACACTGCAGTGTGTGAGGAGTACAAACTAATGTGCTTCACTGCATTGGACTGACTCACAAGGGGCAAAGACGCAAGGCAATCTGAGATACTTCGTTGGTATGGAGAGCGGTATAGAAATATAGGCTATATACAGGATACTAGAGAAATATGAAACAATTATATACTAGCAAATGTCCTCCTCTCTTTTGTACCCTTTCTTTATGTTCTAATATGAAACAGTCACAATGATGTTATTTAAGATGGAGAAATTGAGATTCTCTATATCCTCAAAGTGGGTTTGACTATGTCTCCTCTCATCCAGGTGAGTTTCACACTACAATGAGTTTCAGTAAGTCAAAAGAGCATCTTGCATCTGATTCTCTGAAATGCTCTGGATCAGGCCCTGTAAAAAATATATATATAATTCAGCTCTACTTCCTGGGTTTAATACCAGCTGCGTCTGGGTTGCCACTGATTGGAAGGATAGTTATTGATCTTAATTTACTATCGTTACTGAATTCGTCAGCTGATTCCAATTAAGAAAAATCCAGACCATCATTACTGAATTCATCACCTGATTCCAATAAAAAAAAACTCCAGATCACACTTCATCTTCACACAGTTACTGATCCACCCTGGACAACGAAAATCTACTCTCCTCCTTCCTAGGCAGGAAAGCTGCTGTCCTCAGCTAACAGCACTTATACCAGGATACTGGAGGGGGCACGGACTGCAAATTGCATGACTCAATCCCATGAAGTACACCTCTCCATGGGGCGGGGCGGTGGCTGTGTGGCTCAGGATCTGCGCCTGTGGCTGGAAGGTTGCCGGTTCAAATCCTGCAGCCGGCAGAGGAATCCTACTCCATTTGGCCCCTGAGCAAGGCCCTTCACCCCAACTGCTCCAGGGTCACCGTATAAATGGCTGACCCTGCGCTCTGACCCCAAACTTCTCTCCCTGTCTGTGTGTCTCATGGAGAGCAAGCTGGGGTCTGCGAAAATACAAATTCCTACTGCAGGAAATTGTATACAGCCAACAAAGTAATCTTATCTTATCAGGCAACCCTTCAGAAGAGCTCCACTCCATTGTGCTCCCACAGCCCTGATTGCAACCAAAGTGCAGTTCTGTATGACAATCGGACAAGCTATCGGGTCCTTCCTGCAAAGATTTAACTTGTAGCCATTCAGGGAAGTGACAAATGTGATTGTGCAGCTTTTTAAAAATAGAACCCATTTCATAAGCTTCTTCGTATTTATGTGAAAGAATCAAACCTTTCCCCTTGAGCTGCTGATGACTGGCAACAGCTGCTCAGTCACTGTGGCAGGAGACACCTTCAGTCGGTGCTTTCCAGGATTCCTTAGGCTTGTATCCCAGATCTGAATGTCGTAATGCAATGCACTCATTCACCCTGTAGTTTTTACTCTTAAAACAGCCCTCAGTTTGAAACAGCAAATTGCTTTGCATCTCAGTGAAGTTTCCCCATGGACTCCAATGTGGTCTTGGGCAGATGGTCAGTGTTCAGCAACAGCTCATAGCACCCAGACAGCTGGAGCTGAGCTATAACCCTGTGTTACCCTACCACACACCTCCAATGACTCTATAACACCCCAACACACGATTCCTGAAAAGAGTTAAATGAGTTTGCAATCTGGAAACTGCCCCCACCTCCAGGAAGCAAGATTACTCTGACAACTGGACAGAAAAAAAGCCGTTCATTTTCTCTAAAGCCAGGACAGATATCTTCGGGAGCCAGGAGTGAGGCGTTCCTGAAGTCTGTTCCAGGTGTCCCATACACACCTGCGGCTTCAAAATGCAACCCATTACCATCGAGACCAGGCTGGGCCAAGAAATGGAATCATGTATCACTGCATCAGTTAAAATGAAAGAATGAGCAGCTGCTCCTGTCAGCCTAACAGCGGCTAAAACTGCAGAGGTAAGATAATTCCCCCCCCCCCCAAGACAAAAAAAGAGCCTTTTCTCTGCTCAGGTTTACTTGGACTGAAATACGTGCACCAAAATTCTTTTTTTTGGGGGGAAAAGAACAAAGTGCAATAAGAATAGTGTCCTCAAAGACACAGGGAACAAGACAGGCTTTCACAGGGCGGATCTCATGAGAAGCTCTGGGGTCAAACTACCCACAGAGCAAAACTGGGGAATTTGCTAGCTCAACACTACAGAGCACACCACGCCAGGGCTCCCACAATGCTACACGGACTGTTCAGACCGGGAATTTCAGCAGGTTTCCCCGGCAGATTGCTCTCATATAAGCGTTGACTGCACGGGATGTCAGGACATTCAGCTTTCTACAACCGCAGGAGCTCCAGGACCTGTGGGAACCCTGTGCTGTTAATAATGATAATTATTCATAATAATTGCTTACACTTCTATAGCGCCTTTCTGGACACTCCATTCAAAGCACTTTACAGGTCATGGGGATCCCCTCCACCACCACCAGTGTGCAGCCCCACCTGGATGATGCGCCAGTCCACTCCCCACACACCAGCTCTCAGTGGGGAGGAGAGCAGAGGGATGACGCCAGTTCAGAGAGGGGGATTATTAGGAGGCCATGACTGGTAAAGGCCAATTGGTCAGGATGCCGGGGTAACACCCCTACTCTTTTCGAGAAATGCATTTTTAAGGACCACAGAGAGTCAGGACCTCGGTTTCACGTCTCATCCGAAGGACGGCGCCTGTTTCGCAAACTGCAGCCCAAGACCACGGAAGGCGGGAGGAGGGGTGGGGTTGGGGGGTGGGGGGGCGTGGATATCTGTCACTTACGGTTTCGCTCTCCCCGTCTGACACGGAGGGGGGCGGGGTCCCATAGTGCAGAGGGGAGTACACCCAGCTCCTGTCCTCGGGAGGCTGTTATAATACGAGAAGCCACCAGGGGGCGCAGCAGATTAGCCACAGACGGAAAGACAGCCCAGAAAGACAGGAAAGAGAAAAGAGAGACCTGCATGAAAAAAGGGCTCATGAAAGAATAAAAAAGGCGGAAAGGAGAGCAAAACCTCCAAAGAGGACTGAAAATATGGAATTCACCACCTGCCTCCTATATACCTCTATTAAGAGCAAGCCCAATACCACTGACATTTTTGAAGATCGAATACTTGGCATGATCATTTTTTTCACTAAAATCGAAATTCTTGCTTTTATTTCCCTGCCCAAGGGTACATCCTCCCTACCAGGGCAAAACATTTCACAAGACCCAACAACCACCTGATGGGATTTTCAGCTCTCTTATGCTCAGCAACTGCACTGAAAAACTAGATTTTTTTAGGTTGGAAAATAATGCAGACAGTCCTCCCTTTTTTCTGTCTCCCTTTTCTTTCAAAAAACACTCCCCGACATCTTGTGTGAATGTGAAATGAGACGGAGCTGAATTATTGAACCGGACCCCTCTGGGCAGGAGCAGAACCCCGGGGCAGTTCTGGAACAGCGGTCCACTTCGGGGCACTGGAGGAGCCTGTTGGTCTCGTGAGCATGCCACCAGAAATGGGCCTCTCCTGATTAAAGCACTCCACAGGGCTGAAGACAAGGAGAGGACATCTCTTACAGCACCATGTGAGTGGCTGAGGTCTGTTTACCATGGGATCTGCTTTTCCTACAAGATATTAAGAAACTGCTGCTCTGATGCTGTGACAATCAGTGCAGTACAGTACCACCCAGAGGTGTCTACAGCTATTCCCTGTTTCTGATGTCCATTTCCACCACAGCTGAAGGCTTAATAAAGTATTAGGCTGGGCAGGCATGAAGTGTCATGTCTTCTCCTGCACATCTGCCTTGGAAACTGCAGCTCTTATGGGTCTACATAATTGACGATGCAATGGTCTTCACACTACTGTGCCGCCCTCGAATCTGAATGAATCTTTACCGCCCCTAGGGGAATCGTGTCTTTCACATCAAGAGCTCATCAACACAAAATGTACACAAGAAGATTGCAATACAACAGTAGTACCAAACTATGATACAAAACAGCACTGGTCAAGATTAGAACTCTTCAAGGAGCTTCAGATTAAAAAAAAAATACAGGCAATTAGTTGCCCTTACTTGCTCCTTTGCCCCCCTGCCTTGCTGTTAGATCTGAGAAGCTAGGAGGCTATTTTTGGTGGAATAGGCCGCCAGCGTGGCTCAATCGCTCTCCGACAAGGAACATCTAGGAATGGCAAGCACGACAGGATGGGGTGCGAGCTAGATCTTTAAGGGACCTAGAACGGGCAGGGGTTCGAGAACTGTTTCCCTCGGAACTTACGCTAGAGGCGCTGCCCGCCTGGCGCCTGGCACGGCGCAGCACGGGGGAGTACACCCAGCACCCGCCGTCCGAGAACTGACGGCGCCGCAGAGCGAGAGGAGGAGGAGGATGAGAGAGAAGCAGAAAGACACAAACACAAAATGAAACACAGCATGAACGGAGCAGGGGCACGGAAGCAAACCAGGAAATGAATTAAATTAAGAGATGAATGAATGAATGAATGACAGGTTAGCTGCCCGTCCCAGCCTGCAAACCTGCACCACCTCCCCAAGGGTCCTCTAGGACGCACCTGCCCCAGCCACCATTAGGGGGCGCTGTGGTTAGAGCCGAAGAAAAGGTTGGATCAGGGAAGAAATGAATAAATGCAGTGGAGGAAACAGAGCTGTGATGCAGGCATGGGTGCCCCTGGAGAGCCTGCTGTTCCGCACAAGAGGCTGATTATGCTCATTTTGATTATGCTAATGGCACAACGAGGCTCTTAACGAAGCTTGCCTTCTCCCCGCCATTCCCTTCCTGCTGCTCAATGAGCCCGATCGGAGAGTCCTGGATCCTGCCTACGACACACCTTGTGGGAGCAACACATGGAAACGTTTCAGCAGCACTCAATCTAAAGCACTGCAAAATGCCGATACAAGAACACTATTCCAAACCCTCAGATCCAGGGGGCTTCTTCAAAATGAGCAGCAGACACACCAGCCAGGGGACACAAGTGAAAACTACAGGGGAGTGTATTTAAAACGAAGAACCGAAGCTACTTCACCCGAAGGGGGGAGTGTGGAACAAGCTACCCAGCCATGTGCTTGAAGCCGATCTGCTGCCTCCTTCAGGAAATGGCTGAATGAGATTCTCGGCTCAGTTAGCTACTGACTATCAAACAGGGTAGACGGGCAGAGTGGATCTCGGATCACTGTTTGTAGCTGGATCATTATTCAATGAATGTATCTCAGTAATGATCCTTGAAAAACTCTACATCAGAATGATTAACATATTCCACACAGGAGCAGAGAGACTTCCTGTCTCCTTTCTGGTAAATATTGTTGGGCGCCAATGAAAAAATGTCTGTGTTATCTTTCTACCAAAGGATGCATTCCTATAATATGAGCACATCTTAGTTTTTTTTAACAAAAAACCCCCAAAATTCAGGCCGTAAAGAGTTTAAATGGGAAGAGGGGACAAGGAACATGAGTGTATTTTGGGGGGACTGTGGTCTCACAACTGACTAGTCTAACCGGAAATCTGTAAAACAAATTGAAGATCCCATACAGGCCCTTTATTTGTATCTGCAAGGATGGATAACCGTGGTCCTAGAGAGACAAAATCCAGCAAGTCTTTATAGGTTGTTATTATTCTGTTGATTTCTAAGTGCTTGGAACGATGGAGGCAGAAAGTGAAAGAGCTGCCATCTTTCTAAAAGCCACTGGCCTTGAAGGAAGACATCACTTCCTCGTCTACAATGTCACTTCCTGTTCAAAACCATCTTCACGTTCTCTGCCTCCACAGTGCGAAAATTAGGAACATTTTCCCCTGTTACACCTGGGGGTGGGGGAATGGAGGGCAGCTGCAGTGTAACCAGGTGGGTGTGCAGAGTTACACACATTTAGATCTTAAGTCAGCAAAGGAAATTACATTAGAACAACACAAAACTGCCCTCAAGACAGAACTTAGCACAGGTTTGCTGGCTTTACAAAGAACCAAAAAACACAAGGCATTCTGGAGCATTTCAGTACCCGTAGACATAACCTCAGCCAAAACCACTAGACGGCTGTTTCTAAACAGGTGTCTACATTCAAAAAAGAAAACATGCAAGAGAAAAAGCATCCACACAACCACAACAGAGCAGGGTAAAGGGGCATGCTGTGAGCGCACTGCATTGCAACATGCTGTCTGTCTACAGCTTCCCTCTTTCAGCCTGTGCCTTTGAAGCACTTTGTTTCCGTGACACCTCGGCTGTGCCCAGCCTAGAGCGAGCGTCTGCGTTTGTTTCTGCAGCTCGACTCATAGGGGCCCAGATAGCACCTTTATTTTCAGTGCACGGAAGCTGAAGAAAGACAAGCCTTGAGCAGCCCTGAGTCCAGGCTGAAGTTAAAGAGGAGAGCGGAAAAGGTAAAGGAATTATTCTGGGGTTAACTAGGATTCTAGTCGCCATCTATGCACAAGACAAAGAAATAGAAATCCATACAAGAAACTGCACACTGTCGGTCAAACACGCGGTTTTCTCACCCTACAGCTCCACAGACTCATCCAGACAGCTGCCCTGAAGAACAGCCAAGTGTTTATCCTCTGATACACAGCCAGACAGCCGCCCCCAGAGCTACAGGTATCTTTACAGAGGGCTCTTCTGGGATACCGAAGAGGAAACAGTGAGTTTACCCGCCCCTACCTTGTCAGAGAGGGCTCATTCACTACCCTCCACCTCACGGTCTGATCTCTGCACCACTGTTAAATAATTTAAAATAATTCATATCTGTCTTGCAAGAGTGGAGAGGTTTCTGCTAAGACCTAACATCTCAGCATCTCTGTTCAGCATGGAAAAAATGAAGACATTGCATATGTTTCTTGAAACCCTAGCAAAGAAGTCTTCAACACAAACATGGACCTTGTCCTGTTGTGTGGCTTATTTAAAAGAACATTCAAGAACCTCGTGCCTGCAAGACCCAAGACTCCTGTGTCAACTCTGACATGTGGCTGTTTGTTTCAGAAGAGCTGGTCTTAGTCCATATTCCACACAGCCTGGGCTTTGAGCTCTCTTAAAACAGTCACAGAACACAGCTGTGTCGCAGTGCTGTGTTTTGTGAGTGGTGTATCAGTGCCCTTGAATCAGTTAACCCAGTCTCTTGTCCTCAGAGGACTATAGGGTTCTCTGGTGAAACCCATTAATGATCTCAACCAAATCCTGATTATTTTAATTACTCAGGCAAGTAAGAAATGCCTAAAGGTTCTGAGGCTCAATTTCAAGATTGCCTCAAAGAAGGACTTTTTTTTTTAAATCCAACCGAGCTGTGGAAAAAATCTTCTCTGGAAAAAAAACTAGGAGCCTTATGCCAAAGACTTGTACAAGCCCTCCTCTCCTGCACCCTCAAAGACATTTTGGCGATAGAGAAATGCAGCAGCTTTGAAAAACTGCAGTTCCTTTTCAACATGGATGACCTACATTTTGTTCATACTGAATGCGTAGTTCCAGGGTCTTTCAGTGGATAGGAGGGGGGGCAGTTAAAATCAAGTACAGATCAGGCCTGTGTTAAGACCCGGGCTTACAAAGTAGATGTCGGTGATTGGCACGTCCTCTTCATCTTCTACAGAAGCGTGGCTGGTGGACTCAGACAGCTGGCTCGAAGCATCGGGCTCCACCACCACCTTCGGACTGGGCGGCACAGAGGACGAGGCTTCTGGGATATAACTGGAGACAAAGACACACAGGAAGACATGGACATTAGACATCCAAACTCCAGGGGGGCGCTGTGGTGTCACTGAAGTATTCCACTCTCAGCCAAGGGGAACACAAATGTCCTTCCAGGTCTTCCCACAATCACTAAATCTCCATTTTCCTCTTTCCTTCTTGAACTTTCCCCCCCTACTCCTTGGTAAGAGAGACATTCTGATGGTATTTAAAGATTTTCTTGTTTAAATTTAGGATAATGCAGATTTTGGCCTACTTCAGAACATTGTAGCCTATGGATGAAGTGGTCACAGTGGAAGAAAGAGTTGGGGAATGCTGGAGCCGAATTATAGGAAGCTGCACGTTGATGAGCATTCTGGTTTGCCGCAGACAATAACCTTCTTTTGTAAATTACCCAGTAGGCTAACACTCAGGCGACGAGTTTCAGAGATGGAGCAGGACAGAGTTTCAGCGAGAAGGAAGCAGAGCTCTTTCGTGACTACTCATGCTGTGGGCTCTCCAGGGCGCCAGTGCAGATGGCTCTCCAGGCCTGGGAAGCAGGAGCTCGGCCCCGAGGCAACCCTCCAGACTCTCACTCCTTCACTCACCCACCTCAAGCCTCGCATATCCCCGACTGTCTCTCGTAACCTCGCCGTGACTTGAATCTGTTTGCTATCAGCAGCGCCACCCCAAACCCCAGGCTCTTAGCCTAATCGCGTCGCTATTCCAGATACAGTCGTCTTAGCTGACAGCAATCCTTGGAATAATGGGTCAGCCGACGGTGGACTGGTGGGATGTAGAGAAGTGGGATTGGCATTTGGAGTCATAATAATAATAATTCCTTACACTTATATAGCGCTCTTCTGGACACTCCACTCAAAGAGCGTTACAGGTACTGGGGACTCCCCTCCACCAGTGTGCAGCCCCACCTTGATGTTGCGACAGCAGCCAGAGTGGGCCAGTACACTCCCCACACACCAGCTATTAGTGGGGAGGAGAGCAGAGTGATGAAGCCAGTTCAGAGATGGGGATTATTAGGAGGCCATGATTGGTAAAGGCAAGGGGGAAATTTGGCCAGGACACCGGGGTAACACCCCTACTCTTTTTGAGAAACACCCTGGGATTTTTAGTAACCACAGAGAGTCAGGACCTTGGTTTTACGTCTCATCCGAAGGACAGCGGCTTTTTACAGAATAGTGTCCCCGTCACTATACTGGGGCATTAGGACCCACATGGACCACAGGGTGAGTACTCCCTGCAGGCCCCTCCAATACTTCCAGCAGCAGCCTAAGCTTTCCCAGGAGGTCTCCCATCCAGGTACTGACCTGCTGAGCTTCAGTGGGGCTGTCAATTGTGAGTTGCAGGGTGATTTGGTTGCTGGCAAGTAGCGACTGACAGTTTGTGGGTTTGAATACCTGCTGCAGACACTGCTGTTGTACCCATCCTAGACATTTGCTCTCTAGCCCGCCTAACCCTACAGAAACCAGGATGAGCTCTGGCCCACTGATTCACTGTATCTCTGGTCTGGACTCAGAAGTCACTCAGAATCCTGTGCTGCACACAAACAGGATGGATGTTTCAAGTGTGTACGTGCTTTATATTTATACAGGAAGGAAGCTTCTAAAGACAGCTGGCATAACTGAGCAACGGGACGCTGGTACAGGTGCAAACAGCATCATGGGGAGCATGACCGGCGCTGGCTGACAGGAGACACCAGGGGGCACTGCACTGGCCTAGGCTCATCTCTGTGTCCGTGATGGTTGTGCATGTGTGAAAGCACCTGGGTTTAAGCTGTATGGCACACCTCAGTGTCCACGGCTGCTGTCCACAGGGGTACGTGCCGCAAAGTCAGTTTTGCGTGTGTTCTGCCATGTTTTGCCACAAGGTTGCCCGAAAAGGCCAGTCAGCTTTGTATGCAGCCTTTGTTTCGAAATGGCACCAGCAGCTGCGTACTGCCTGCGGTGAAAAACGGGTTTTGACACGTGCTGAGGTTTCCGAGGATGGCGCCGTCAAAGCGTGTCGCGGGAGGGCTGTGGGCTTGTGCCAGGCCCGGGCGGGTGGGCGGGCGGGGAGCTGGTGAGGCGGTGAGGGGGTACCTCCTCTCCAGGGAGGGCCGGGGGACGACGGCGGGCTCGCTGTCGTGTCTCTTCAGCTCCACCTCCACCGTGATTGTCTGCAGGTCCTCATCGTGGGATCTGCGTGGATAAAAAAAA